GAAGGCCTAAAGAAAAAAGATTTTATCAAATGTCAACATAGACAGTATCTACCTGAACCCATTCTAGTGTTTCGCACAAATATTGGTCGAAGATTGCAAGGTTACTAATAGTTGATCGACAACGTACAAAACCGTGCTGGTGAACTGAAACGTAATTTTTTGCACTTTCATAAAGACGGTCATGTAGAATAATTTATAAGAGTTTCGCTGGATTGCAGAGAATAGAAATTGGTCTGTAGTTGCAGCGTTTGCGGGACGTCACGTTAGTGGTATCGTTACAAAATTTGCACCTTGAAAAGTGACATTGTTAAGTTTTTTTTTTACATTTCTTAGGTTTTTTGTGACGCATTGTAGGTTTTTCTACAAGATGTTAACTTAGCTCAAGCTGTTGGACACTTGTTGAGAACTCGTTTTACAGCTGTACGTGTAGCTTAAACGTCAGCGAACGGCGATCATAGCGAGCAAATGTGGACTTGCACACTAAAAACTTCGTAGTCTACAGGTTGACATTCGCACAAAAAAATTTTGGGCGTAAGCCAATTTTTTTAAATATAATTTTTTTAGCGCGAACGCCATATAAACCCACCCTAACTCTGAAAAAGTATGTTCCGGACCCCGCTCGAGCGATCGACTATCATGGGCTGTTAGAACACGTTAAGTTGACCGGATATCAGTGAAAAAATTTTGGCCGCAAAGCGATTTTGAAAAATGACAGGTGTTTTTTCGAATTCTGATCGAAGTGCGGATCGGGGTGTTCCGGACCCCCCTGGGGGAAACGGCTTGGTGGGATGTTAGAACATGTTAAATAAACACGATTCGCACAAAAAAATTTTGGGCGTAAGCCAATTTTTTTGAAATATATTTTTTTTCGTGAGGACGCCATATAAACCCACCCTAACTCTGAAAAAGTATGTTCCGGACCCCGCTCGAGCGATTGACTATCATGGGCTGTTAGAACACGTTAAGTTGACCGGATATCAGTGAAAAAATTTTGGGCGTAAAGCGATTTTGAAAAATGACAGGTGTTTTTTCGAATTCTGATCGAAGTGCGGATCGGGGTGTTCCGGACCCCCCTGGGGGAAACGGCTTGGTAGGATGTTAGAACATGTTAAATAAACACGATTCGCACAAAAAAATTTTGGGCGTAAGCCAATTTTTTTTGAAATATAATTTTTTTAGCGCGAACGCCATGTAAACTCACCCTAACTCTGAAAAAGTATGTTCCGGACCCCGCTCGAGCAAACGACTATCATGGGCTGTTAGAACACGTTAAGTTGACCAGATATCCGCGAAAAAATTTTGGGCGTAAGGTGATTTTCAACAATTACGGGTTTCCGATCTGATTCAACATAGTAATTTTTATATCTATATATTTTTTTGGAGGTAAACCACGAGTTAATGCCATGTCCACTCAAGGGCACTTGAGGTATGTTTGTCTTATGCGATTAACGCAAAAACCGCATTTTTTCATTATAATTTTCACGAAATAATAACTTTTTCGCGTTACTCACAACTTTGGGGATGTTTTTGGGGAAGGGGGGCTAGACTTCAATGACACATAAAAACACATAAAATAAACGATATTGCATGAAAACCGGATTGATTTACGCACATTTAAAGCCAAAAGACGTGGTTGTATGTTGAAATGACAAATTTTGTGCACTGCTGCCTTTATAACGTTTTCGATCGCGCTCGATCGATCGGTTCTTCAGCCACATGTTCTAGGATGGAGAGGACATAATGTTTTTATTGCTGTGAAGAAATTCATTAACCCATAAATTAATAAATGATTACTATTATGACGAAAAGGAAGATGAGGAATTGGATGGAATGTATTTTATATTCTATTTTCTTGCAAAATACAGACAAATCCACACTATTCAACAGGTATGTAATGATAACTTTCAGTATATTGAAGTTGGTAAACTCGATAGCGCCATGCATTAACAAACGTCCAAATCTAGTGCCAAATTTAACAGGTAGAAAATCGACCTATTATTTGCCACTAACCCATTCGCTGAGGGGGATAACGGATTGTTAAATGTAAACCTATAGCATATATCAAAATACATGAAAGTTGTCCTGTTTTTTCTGTACAAAAGCATCATGTTGGAATCAAAAAGTGGTCTGGTTTATAATACAGTCGAATTTTCACGATTTTATTCAATATTTCAATAGAAATCATTAATATTCAGAGACCTTTGATAGCTTCTGTCAAATTGCATTTCGATAAGGTATTTTCCCATTGGTCCATAATATTAATGTTGGTGAAATTGGGCCTAAATTTACCTAAAACTAACTTTAGCGAAACTACAAGCTGACATGACACTGCGTTCTTATTTCTGAAAAACTGCAGCAGACAATGTCACAGACGTTAGACAGTTTGTGCGCACTTGCACATATTTGATCAATAGGTGCTTTCATTAATATATTTGTTTGAGCTCTTTTACGTAAAAACGTCTAATGATCTCTAGGATTTAGGCCCGTATCGTCAGTCGTCCCTACAATTGTAGGGCGCCTTTATGGCCTCCTTGATTGTCATAGTTTTCTGCTTCTCCGTGTCAGAACTCTATTTTGAGGTTATGTCACAAACATCTATTTGCATCAAATTGTGCTTGCTTTTGAGTTATATCATGTTTTATCAGCCTGAAATTTCCTACAATTGAAGAAAAAGAAAACATATCTTCACAATAGGAGAGCGCTGACGCTGACACGGGACAAGTGTAATCTAGAAATTTTTGAAGGAGAGAAAGCAGGATGACAATCAAGGAGGCCATAAACGCGCCCTACAATTGTAGGGACGACTGACGATACGGGCCTAAGTCTCGGTACAAAGATATTTAGCTGTGATAACAGGCCAATAGAGTCAATTTTGCCATTTAGTAGTTTATGCAAAAACAAAACAGATGCCTGACCTCTACGGCTCTCTAGAGTTTGAAAGTTGAATCTGTTCACAAGCATCACATAATCACTACCTGTTTGTGGATATACCCCATCAAGCTTGAAAGATAAGTACTTTAGATTTTTTTTTAAACTTTTCGATACTTGTTTTATAAATATTGTAAATTGGGTTCCATATTAGTGAACAGTATGCTAATTTCGACCTGACTAGACTGGAATACAATAAAGTTAGTGCCGACGTGCCACGTAAAAAGCTTACAGTGTCTTATGATAAAGCCATATGATCGAAACGCATTTATAATAATTTGATTAATGTGTGAGTTGAATGTTAACTGACTGTCAAAGCAAACGCCTAGATGTCTGATTGAGTCAGTTCTCGAATGGTCTGTACCATTAATTGTATAAGGATATAGTATGGTGGAACGTCGGCTAAAGGTTAATTCTGCATTTGGAGATATTTAAATGCAGATGATTTCTGAGACACCAGTCATGTAAAACATCGATCTGCGATTGCAGGGCAATGCAATGGCCGCATACATTTTTAGATCGTCCGCAAACATGAATCTATTGCATTCCAGTGAAGTGCATAGGTCATTAACATATAACAAAAATAGTAGAGGTCCCAAATTGGACCCCTGTGGTACTCCACCAGTAGAAGCATAGTAAGCAGATGTGATTGAATTAATGTGAACATATTGCCGTCTCTGATGCAGATAAGATTTAAGAAAGAACTATGAAGGCCTAAAGAAAAAGATTTTATCAAATGTCAACATAGACAGTATCTACCTGAACCCATTCTAGTGTTTCGCACAAATATTGGTCGAAGATTGCAAGGTTACTAATAGTTGATCGACAACGTACAAAACCGTGCTGGTGAACTGAAACGTAATTTTTTGCACTTTCATAAAGACGGTCATGTAGAATAATTTATAAGAGTTTCGCTGGATTGCAGAGAATAGAAATTGGTCTGTAGTTGCTTATAACATTTAACTGTTGCGACTTGTGTATAGGGCAATCTTCCACACTTCAGCAAAAGTTGATGTCTTGAGAATTTGGTTGAAAATAGCTTTAAGTGGGTAAAGTAGAACTATTATACAATCTTTGAGAAAAAAATGAAGGGATCTGATCATGACCTGACGTTAGTTTGTTTTTTAATTTCTTTCCTGCCTCCAATATTTCTTCCTCTGTTATTGACTCGACACTCACATCTAGTGTATCAATGAGATCAGGACTGAATGTTAGGTTCTCTTCGGCATCATTGTCAGCCGAAGTTACGGTGCTCTCAAAAAAACTAACAAAGGCATTGACTACACTTTTAGAATCACTAAACGTTTCATTATTATAAATCATCTTGGCTGGGATTCTAGAGGTTCTGTTTTTTTTGGTGAATAAATGACGAAAATGATTTAGGATTCAGCTGTAACTGATTTTGAATATGCTTAGGATAGCATTTATAATCTTCCTTAATTTCTGATAACGATAATTCTACGCAGCTATTAGACGTATTTCTCACATGAAACAATCATTTTCAACACAAGCGGCTAAACGGTGGGCTTTTGCAAGGTTAGTCAGAAAGGGCACGGGAAGAATTTCTAGATTGCCAAGTTGTCAAATGGGTGGGAACTAACCCTTTCTTCAGAAGTGCTAGCTTGTGCCGAACATAATCCTTTATAATCTAATGACTGCGTTGCGTGGGAAGTGCTGAGTCAACCTACTTGACGCCATTTGTTATTAATTTATTGATGTATTTAATTCGTGGCCTGAGTTTAGTCTGAAAGCTTAACTGTGCTAGAAGCGGCAGCTCATAGCCAAAACGTGCCTGTGAACCACGCCACAATTTAATAGGTAAACCTCATCCTGGGGATTATTTAATAGAATGGTACGCTAAAGGGGTTATGCTGGAAACATCGCGGTGTCTCGAAATTGAAATATTACACGATAAAGCCCAAAGCCTGCTCGTTCTCGCTCACCGTTAACTATTGCGTCCACTTCAATTTAGGACGGTTATAAACAACGATATTATTAAAAGGATATATCATTCGAGATTATCAGCCGTTACCGACTATTATCTAAACGGGTTTTAGATTTTTTCGTCTTACCAGCTCTTTTTAGACTGATCTCATGTACCACGAACATTAGGTTAGGATTTATCCTCTAGGCAGAGCCATTAGTTCGCTACTATTGAATTCGGAAGATGCTTAAAATATACACAGCGACATCAGAAGTGTTACCGCCAGAAAAAATAATTTCCTCAACTTGTTTTTTTGGCGACATAACGAATATATTTGGTTGTTTCTCTGTAAACTGGTCAACTTATTTGGAAAAACTGTCTTGCCCACTTTTTTGCTTAAATGTTTGAAACATCTTACTTAGGAGATGGATACTTTCAAGCTTAATGACAAACCACGGGGAACCCAAAAATATAGGTCATAATTTAGGAAATATTAAGCATTTTCTAAATTATTGACACAGGGGACTGTCAGTTATGGCAGGGGACTGTGTACTCAAATTAAAAGTACCAATATATTAGCAAAATTAAATATTTTATTTTCTCTAAACTTGGAAATTAACAATTATAGTAATTCTTCGCTACACTACGAAAAAGATCAATACTTTTATTATACTCTTGTTCCAGGTTACAAAACTTTGTAAGCTTAAGGTAACACAACCATTAGTTTTACGAAGCTTAACGTTTTTCAAAAACATTAATGGATCAAATGTATAAAATAGTCTATTTTTCTCTTTGAAAGTATGTTTGGATTAGGTAATTTTTCTATTACTTGATCCATTGTAATATCGTCCGGATCCATTCTAAATGTTTGACCTTTATTATTGTAAAGCTTTAAAAACCTAACTCGAATTTCCCCATCTTCATCGATTTTGTTTATTACGCTTACTTATCTATATTGCATATTTTTGAGACTAATTCGACTAAGATGTAATCTCCAATGATGAGTGCTTTGGCTGCGGTAGAGCTGGGTCCGGCTTCATCAGGTTCTGAGTCAGTGAATTCTTCAGCAACTGTTACTTTAACTTTATTTCATAGTTTAATTTTCTGATGTTTTTTTTTCTTTGTTACAAAAGCAGCTTAGATGTTTCATCACTATCCCAACTGACTCGCATTTTAAGTCCAAAGAGTTATAGAATTTCCGACGACGCGTCCTCCGAGTAGTTTTGCTTTTTTTATTCTTCTGTAATTAATCACTTTTGTGTTTTCCATACGCCATAATTTGTATTTTTCCACTAGTTTTCTGAATACTACTTTTTTTCTTTCAATGTTTCTATGTTTGAGAAGTTTTCTTGTAATTGTTCTTTTAACACCTCACCAAACAATGCCTTCTTGACTAGATCTTTCTTAGTTTTTGGACTATTTGCTAGTCAGTATTTTTACACATTTTTCTTTCCTTTTTCATCAGTCTCGAAACACATTTTCTATATTCCAATAATTTTCTTTTTAGTAATTTAATCTCATCATCTTTTTTATTTGATATCTAAGTTTCTTCTCCCTATTAATTCGTTTTTTGAACATATCAACATCTTGAGGTGTTGTTGGTCAGGATGAGTGCGATGTTTCCGAATCTGGTGTGTTATGTACTAAGGACAGGTGGACTAGATCATTATGTTTCGAAAATAGTAATGAAATAAATAATAATATCTTATATTTCACATTATTATGGTAGGAGACAACGAGTTGACCACTTTACAGAGAAAAACCCATTTAAAGCATGCTGTGGCAGCAATGTCAACGTTTTATCTTTGTTAACCTTTGTTAAAATATTATCTTTTCGTTTTTGTGAAGAAAGCAGTTTCTGAGAGCTGAATAGTACAGATATCTTTAGTTATTGCCCTGTCATTTACTTGTGCTAAGCATAACGATATGTCTCGAGCTCGAAGACATCCATATTATCACCATGTTAGAGACTTTGACAAGGGTAGAATATTGCCTATCGAGATGTTGTTTTGTCCTATCGGGAAATTGGCCGCCGTGTTAATTGTACTGCAATGACGATAAAGCGTGTGCGTCGTGTGTGGATAGAAGAAGGTAGAGGAATACGAAGAAGGCCAACTGGTCCACAGAGCGTCAGCTTCAGACAACCAGCCCTACGACGCCGTTTTGCTACTACGCGTCAGATCGCTGACCAATGGTTGGGAGAAAATGCTATAAAATTTCGTGAGAATGTTATTGTTTCATTCTTGATCTAAGAGCCGTTTTAGATGTAGTCGACGCTCACCGCTGATGGTCAGTGCTGACCGTCAGCACCTATGCTATCGCGTTTTCACATGCTGCGTATGATCAGTAGTTCAATATGTATGTGCGAAACAACATCGTGCGCGCCGTTGCCGTTTATACTATTTTACGTAGAAGACGGCAACAAAAACCGATGAAAAAGAGGTTGTGGCCCAACTAGCAAAGTAGTGCTATAAGCTTTTGGTAAAAGAACCGTTCAGCCATAAAAGCTCTCTATTGTTGTTACCTGAACACCAGAATGCTGTCTTAATGTTGTGTGGAATGCAAATTTGTTTCTGCAACATATTTGCTGTAAAATGAGGTGTTTAAAATATTCTTATAGCATAGTTACACGACACCTTATAGGACAAATTTTTAACTGTTGCATAAACGTTTATACAACTATTTTATACGGCATATTTGCAGGTTAGTCAAAATGGTTGTGTTGTGGCATCCACGGTAACGTTTATAAGACAAACCCGAGCCTTATTGTTTTGCTGTGCAAATTTACTACTTTAGCCAACAAACTGCTCCCGACGGAAGCACTTATAGAACCGTTGTTTAGTAACTGTTAAAGGCTGTACATATGCTATATATGTTGGTATACAGCTTCACCATAACCTAGCTTTCTGCTGTCATATTTTAGTTAATCCGTAACCACAGAGGTGACATTCCACTCACACTCTACCAGACGTGACGTCTCTCAGACGGCAATTTTATTTTATCAAAAATTGGCATTGTATATTTTTTAATAACTTTATTCGGAAATTGGTTATTATTCTAGGTGTACTGAGCACAAAATAAAAGAATTCAAATGGATAAATACTAAAACGTTTGTTTGCAGGAAAATAGTTTCTGATTATTGAAGCAACAATTTGGATTTTGGCACATAATATATTTTGCCTCAAAATCTTCCTAACATACTAAAAAACAGTGTTTATTTAATTTTATTTATAAAATATGAATATAACACATTCAGAAAATCCTAAAGGTAACATAAACAAATTTAACATAAAAAAAATTGCAAGGCATATATTTACTTATTTTTTATACAGCACAATCTCTTGCAAATTTTTCTTGTACATTCCAAACACACTGGCCGTTTGCAAATAATACAAAATTGGCTATATTTTTTAGTCCTGGGCATTTCAAGATGATATTATGTTTCAAGGTTCTGGTATTTGTTACAAAAGCAGGACTGGATGACCACTTGAAGCGTTTTTTGCCATAATAATATCTTGATGTGTTATTTTCACTTGACCTCTCCTCAGCAGATGAATTTGATACATCCGATTCACATGACATATCAATGCCCTCATTATAATTTATATCAATTTCACTTTCACTATCATGCTCGCTCAAAATGAAATCGCTGTCAGCCACGTCATCGTCCTCATCAGCAGAATTGCAGGAATCAACCTCCTCAAACCATTTTATAACAGTTTCCTCCAAATTTGGGTCCGTATACTTCACCCGTTTTGAAGGACAAGGTAAATTTTTGTCTTCCATACCAGAAACCTAACAAAATAATCACAAATTTTAAATATTCATCTTGTAAACAAAATTCCTCTTACACAGATCTGACGTCTTACAGACACCCACCAACATAAAATCTCGCAAAAAATGTAACACTGTATCTATCAACCGCAAACCAACACAGTCGGTTTAGCACTGAAATCCACGGTATACTTTATCTGAAGTCACTTGAAACACTGTGAAATACCGGGTGCGTTTTATATATCTATATTTAACACGCTCTGTTGCTGCAAAAATCGCCAAGTTTCCCCAGTTTCACCGGTCCACGTGGAGTAAAGCACGCCTATGCGTGGACATAGCCAATGGTCAATGAGAAAGCGTGTATTTCAGAGCTCCGAACAAGTGCAGGTGGCTACTGAAAATTGAAACAGTTTAGCCAGTGCCGTGTAGCGGTGAATAAACGTGTTTTCTTTAGTCTGTCCGTGTTTTTTCATAGATTTAATTAGTTTGTGTGTTTTTGATTTTTGAATACTCAGTTTACTTGTTGATTTAATTGTTGTGTTGATTGTTCTTGTGTGTCCTAAATATGGCTCTTTGGAGACCTTGGGAAAATGCTCGAAGCCACGAGGAGATGGTTGATGAACCTGTGCAAGCAGAATTCTTTCATAAAGATTTAGAGGAACAGACCCAAAGAGTAATCCTGAATATGTATGATTGTCTGAAAAACGAAAATCCAGATTCCTCGCAAAATCAAATTTTAAACAGAATTTGTATCCTGACAAAAATCAGTGGGTCTACCATTTATCGGGTTATAAAAAGGGGAGATGTAGTCAACCATTCCTTCCACAGAAAGCGCATAGGGCAAAAATTAAAAAGAATAGACGTGGGTTTTCAGGAAGATATTCGTCGTATAATATACGGATTTTATAAAGAAAATTTGGTGCCCACGTTGGAAATGATACGGGATAAATTAAAAGATTATCCTGAAGATTTTTATAATTACAAATGCTTAGACTCACTGCACTGTATTGTAAAACTGTGTGGTTTTCAATACAAAAAATTAGATAAAAGAATGGTGATTATGGAGTCGTCTCGAATCGTTGAATTGCGCCAAGAATTTTTGCACAAAGTTAAAATCTATAGAGAGCAGAAAAGAAATCTGATTTACCTGGATGAAACGTGGTATGACACCCATGATGTTGTGCAGTACGGCTGGGTTGACGACAGCAACAAGTGCATTTTAAATGCACCATGCAACCGTGGAAAACGAATCATTATTCTCCATGCTGGCAGTGAAAATGGATTTATACCTAATGCCTTGCTGTTATCTGCCAAAAATATCAAGAATCATGTGCCGACTATCATGAGGACATGACCTCCGACTTATTTAAAAAGTGGATAGAGCTGCAGTTAATACCAAACATTTCCCCAA